GCCCCCTGCCAGGTAGCTGCCACTCCTGATAGTACCCACTGCTCACTCCCGCTGCCCTGAGTGGGCTCCCACACGCCAGGCAGGCGTGTCCCCTGCTCCCATCCCCAGCAGGGGCTGCTCCTCCGTGTCCGTGGCCACCCTGGGCGTCCTCCAGCGGCTGAGACCGCAGGGACAGCTGCCCGGGGAAGCCCAGCGCTCTCCAGAGGCTCAGGTGGGCACTCCTTTTATGTGAGTGGGGAGTTGTCTCTAAGGAATCAGCTTGCAGCGTGGCAGGAATCGAAACCAGGGATCACGAACGTAGGGGCCCCGAGATGGACCGAGACGGAGACGGCACCGCTGGGCGCAGCGCCCGGACTCACCAGGAAGGAGCAGAGGAAGATGAAGGAGACGAAGTAGAAGTAGGCGAAGTCGCTGCCGCACTCGCTGGCATGGGCGTGCTCGTCGCATTTCTGGTTGCTGAGGCAGGACAGCATGATCTCGTGCCAGGCCTCCCCGGTGGCGCTCCTGGGGGGGAGGGAGCGTGAGGCGAGGAGGCGGCCCCGACGGCCTGGGTCCCCACCCAGAGACCCCATGTGGCTGTCAGGTCTGGGGACAGATGGCTGCTGCTAGAATAGGACCCTCAGGCACCAGACTCTCCAATGCTCATTGCAAATGACCAACAGCACCTGGAGCACCAGGCTGATGCCCTCTGTGGCCCCCTGAGCCCCGCAGCCCTGGGACCCCCACTTCCCAGCCTGGTGGCCTGTCCTTCCACCTGCTCACGCACCCCACCTCTGTCTCCTTCACCCCGTCCTGCCGGTCAGATGACCCATCTCCCAGAGACAGCTTCTGCCTGCGTCCCCGCAGCCAAGTCACTGCAACGGCTTCTGACACCTCCCTGCTCCCCTGCCCAACGCCCAGCAGGTCCCCTTGAGACAGGTCAGATCTTGTCAGTCACGGCAACAGCCCAGATCCACATGCCCACCCACAGCACCGTGTGACAGCTGCCCGCCTCTCCCTGCCCCCGACCTGCTCTGGCCACACCAGCCTCCCGCTTCCTGAACATCCAGGGCACCCCCTCGAGCAGCCACCGCAAGCGCCTCGGCACCGATTTCTGTTCCTGGACCCTCTGTGCCCGTGGGTCCCCTGGGTGAAGCTGGCTGCGCCCCACTGATGGTGGCCAGGGGTGAGGGGCGCACGTGGGGCACAAGGACCGGAGGGAAGAGAGACCTCCGAGACCAGAGACCAAGGCTCCGAGCCCAGGTGACCTCCTCGGGCGCTGCCTGTGGCCCAGGAGGGACGTGAGTACCGCGCAAGGCCAGCTGAAGGCCGGAGGAACGGCGCCCTCAGGTGCCTGCTTGTGGGAAGCAGAGAGCGCTCAGAAACTCCCCACACGGCTCAGCAAGGCACCATGGCCTGAGCTCCCCGCACAGCGCAGCAAGAAGTGGACAGGCAGGTGGGCTGGCAGGAAGCAGCACAGCCCAGGGTGCAGGTGCAGGTGCAGGTGGAGGGCCGGGCCGGTCACAGCCTCTGCACCAGGAAGGAGCCTTTCTGGGTCCCGCACACACCTGAACAGCAGCATCAGCGCCTGCAGAAACGTCCGGAAGTTGTTGTGCCTGTTGATGCTGGAGTCGTCGTCCAGGGCGATGTTTCCAAACACCTGGAAGGAAGAGCAGCTGCAGGCCACGGGCGGTGGCTGCACATGGACCGGGGTCCTGGTGCAGGGGCTGCCGTGGCCAGAGCATGGCCAGAGCCCAGGGCCCGGGGCCGGGCACCGGGTGCGCACCTGCATGCCGATGATGGCGTAGATGAAGAACAGCATGGCGATCAGGAGGCACACGTAGGGCAAGGCCTGTGGGCACACGGAGGCGGGTCAGCCGGGCAGTGCCACCCCCGCGCCCCTCGCTTCTGAGTGCGTGGGAGCCTGTGGGCACGGCCAGAGGACGCTCACCTTGAAGGACTGCACGAAGGTCCAGAGCAGGATGCGGATGGTGTAGCCCTGGCGCAGCAGCTTGATGAGCCGCGCCGCACGGAACAGGCGCAGGAAGCTGAGGTTGATGAAGTTGTTCTGCGGGAACAAGGCGGCTCTCTGACCCGCGGAATCTGCCTCCTGCACGGAGCTGCTCCCCTCCCTTCCCTTCCGCCCTCCCCGCGCCCGGGGTCCGAGGAAAGGCGGGGAGAGGGAGAGGAACACGAAGTCACCACGGCACAGTGTGAGCAGCCCCTTCGGAAGGAAAGCTTGTGATCGCATCAGTTCATGCAGCAGATCAGAGACCGACCACCGACAGAGGGACAGAGGAGCGGCCGGGTCGCCTGCCCTGCTGGGGCCCCCCTCCCCTCCCCACAGCATCTGAGCCCCGCTGGGCTGCAGAGGGCAGGCACTCCTCCTGCAGACGGCCCCCCAGGTGTGGGGACAGTGGTCTTGCCGCTCACACCACAGAGGCCTCCTCCCCGTCCACAAGCAGGTCTAACCCCGTCCTCCGGCTGCCACGGTGGTCTGGGAGTGTGGCTTCCGTGGCCGGGCGCCTGAGCTATGGCCCATCCCTCTCAGAGGCACAGCTGGGCAGTGCTCAGATGGTGCTGCGGCCCAGGCTGCTCCCGCCACCGCGCTGAGGCGCGGGCAGGCTGGTGGTCCGAGCCCATGGGGAGAAGGGAGGGGACTCAGACTGAGGGCAGCAGCATGCACGCCGGCTGCACCCCAGGCTGCCTGTCTGGGCGTGGCGCCATCAGTGATGACAGGGGTCACTGGCTTCCAGGGACAGTGGTCCCACCCCCTTGCCAGTGCTTCCTTGGTCCTCTCCCCTCAGGGGCTGACC